TTTTAAGATCCTAGTGAACTTTTGAACCACACTAAGGAATTTGTTAATTGTCTGGCAGACAGACTCCCTGTCTAAAGAGAGTTAAGGAAGTCTCAGTCTGTCTTTCTTTAAGATCCTCCCTATAGGATTTATATAAGTTCAGAGTGATCAGTTGTTTTAGTTTGGATCTTTATCTAAGTTTGTCTTAATGTAAAGGTTAGCCTGTGTGCTATTGTGCTCATTTAAAATTCTATTTCAACACATGTTAGCATTAGAACGTTGATATTAGCATCATTTATGCTAATATCAAGATGATATCAACGGGTCGTATCATGTTGGCATTTATATTAGCATGTTAGCTTTAGAGCGTTGCTATTAGCTTGAGTCCTCTTGCTTCCTCGTCCTCAGAGGATGGAAGTTCTCCATGGCAACGCAGGTGGCGCTGCAGAACTCCGGCTCTTACTCCATCGGTCAGTTCCAGTCCCGCATGATCAGGTGAGCGGCAGGCCGGCACTTGATTGGCTGCGTGTTCGTAGCGGCATGTTAATACATTTTCTGAACCAGGTGGACCAAGCTGCGCATCAACATGGTTCCCGCCACCATCCTGGAGCCTGTCTCTGAGTGCTTCCTGGCCAGCCTCATCATCGGCTGGGCCGCACATCACGTCTTCAGGTACGGCCGATCGCAGGGCGGGGCGGGGCGGGGCGGGGCGGGGCTTCGAGCTGAGGCAGGAGACTCTCTTTTCTGATTGGTCTGTTTGCTGCAGGTGGGACATGATGGTCTTCTTCATGTGTCACTGCCTCGCCTGGTTCATCGCCGACTACGTCCAGCTGACGGGAGTCCAGGTGAGTCAAAGGTCAAAGGGTGTGAGTGTTGGCGTTGTGATGGGCTAGCTGACCGATGACCTCACCTGCAGGGCGGCGCCCTGAGCTTCTCCAAGCTGGACTTCGCTGTGGCGTGGTTCATCAGGGAGTCCATGTCGGTGCAGATCTTCCTGTCGGCGCTGTGGGACCCCACCATCAGCTGGAGAACGGGTCGGTACCGGCTCCGCTGCGGTGGCACCGCCGAGGAGATCCTGGATGTGTAGTTACCATGGTTACCAGCCGCCCGCCTGGCAGAGGCGGCAGAGACTGTTGGATTTTTATGAGGCAGTCTGTGTGCGTTTTTTAACTATTTATGTTGGTGCTAAAAATAAAACCAGTCAATCACAGCGCAGCACCGAAGAATAACACGCCTGAGCTCTGATCAGCCAATCAGGACAGAGTACCAGCCACTCTGACTTCTCATTGGTCCCCACTGCTTTTTTTTAAACTTCCAGGACATCAGAGCAGAGACTTTTACTTTGAAATCCACAGGAAATCTGATACACCTCCGATCAACTGATGTGACTTTAAGCGCCTCTGCTGGTCCTGTCACATATGGGTCTGAAAAAAATTCAACAGGGGTCAGAGTAGTCGACCAATCAGAGACCAGCAGCTCTGTAATTAAATGATTCCTTTATTATGAAGGTCCAAACGTTTCATCACAACTGGACCAAAACAAGAAAAGGCGACACATTTCTCTGCAGCTGCAGTCCGTCACGCTGTGTGTGTGTGTGTGTGTGTGTGTGTGTGTGTGTGTGTGTGTGTGTGTGTGTGTGTGTGTGTGTGTGTGTGTGTGCGCTCAGCCTCGGGTGTTCAGTGATGACATCATCGGCTGTCGGATGAACCCCGTCTGAATGGTTGAGTCTTTTTTGTATATTTTGTTTTTCTGTTACAAACCTGCTGGAAATGGACCAATCACGGACCAGGACAATAACCCGCTTCCTGTCAGCGGTCACGCCGTGATTGGCCGATGGGAGAGGTTGTGGGCGGGACTTTAACAGATGCACGGCAGCCATTGGTTGTAAGGTTTATTTATTTATTCATGCTCCAAATTCCTGTCACACCTTCAGAATAAATAAAGATTTAACAAACTTTATGTGTTGGGAGTCCAGACTGACCCCCCCTCCCATCATGCAACAAGGCCCCGCCCACAATGACGTTACATTCATCACACATTCACAAAGTTTCAAAATAAAAGCCCACCAGGCTCAGACAAATTAAATGGTAACGAAATTACAAATTAAATAATTAAATTCAGGAGGCCACAAAATTATTTTCATGTATGTTTATATTTTTTATAAATGATTTTTATCCATGACAGAACATCAGTTTTTATTTGTATTAAAACTGAACTTGATTCAGATCCAGATGGCGAAATGGATTATGATAATCCAGATTATTTAGATCATATCACAGCAAATAGTGATAAAACGTGTTTTGCCTGGATGTAGTCATATTTCTGCTTATTTCCTGGTTTATGAGATCATTAAAGCAGATTTTTTATTAGTGGACTTCCTGTTTCTCTATCTTTAACAGCTTTTAGTGTTTTTCTTTCAGCAGGAAATAAATCTGAGATTAAGAAATAATTGGAACGTTATTCGTCAGGTTCTGGTCTCACCAGGCCTGACCAGAACCTGATAAGAAGTGATGTCATAGTGGGAACAGGTCGCCTCAATGTAAAGGCACAGAAACGTTGGCTTGGTTTAACCCCTCCAGACATGGAGGCGGTGCTGACCTTTGACCCCTGAGCTGGCCAGATGGATTGTTGCTCAGTTTTCAACATGTAAACACACACAAACACACACACACACACACACACGGGCGGGGCTTCAACAGCATCACGTTTTACAGTATAAATAGAGCCGACATTAAAAACCTCCCAAAACAGCAGAAACACACCAGACAGTCACACAGAGCGCCCCCTGCAGGCCGTAAGAAATCTGAAAAATAAGGCACAAAAGACGGAGAGCCCGAAGATCCACAGCAGGAATAATAACAAAATGATGATGATGATGGTCAGACAACAGGGGGAGGATGACGAAGAGTTCAAACAAAACTGTTTCAGTTCAAAAGTTTCAGCAGGAACCAAAACATCTGCACACGTTTCCGGTTCTCCTGGGCCTGACTCCGTTACCCACAATGCTCTGCTGCCGCCGCTCAGGAATGTGCTCAGGAACATCCGTAACCATGGCGACGAGGCCCAGCCCGGCCGCCGGTCCGCCCCCCTCGGCTCGGGAGGCCCTGCCGTCCGATTGGCCGCTGGGCGGCAGGGGCGGGGTCAGATGGTGGACTTGGAGAAGGAGACGCGGAGGTGCTGGTTGTGGTCCAGCTGCTGGTCGTGAAGGGCGATCAGCGCCTCCACCGCCTCCTCCACCGACGCCAGCTGCAAGAGCGCCATCTTCCTGTCTTTCCTGGAGATCACAGGAAGTGACATCACCGCTCATGGACAAGACACAGGAAGACATGGAACTGTACGTACTGGAAGAACTTGAAGGCCTTGACAGCAAAACCTCTGGAGGAGAACAGGTCCTTCAGCGCGTCTTCGGCCACCGACGACCTGGACACACACAGGAAGACGGTCCTCACAAAGCAGCAAAAACACACAAACACACACAGCAACAGGCAGCCAGTGGGCGGGCCCCAGCAGGCAGCCAGTGGGCGGGGCCCCAGCAGGCAGCCAGTGGGCGGGGCCCCAGCAGGCAGCTAGTGGGCGGGGCCCCAGCAGGCAGCCAGTGGGCGGGGCCCAGCAGGCAGCCAGTGGGCGGGGCCCCAGCAGGCAGCTAGTGGGCGGGGCCCCAGCAGGCAGCCAGTGGGCGGGGCCCCAGCAGGCAGCCAGTGGGCGGGGCCCCAGCAGGCTAGTGGGCGGGCAGGGGGCCCCAGCAGGCAGCCAGTGGGCGGGGCCCCAGCAGGCAGCTAGTGGGCGGGGCCCCAGCAGGCAGCCAGTGGGCGGGGCCCCAGCAGGCAGCCAGTGGGCGGGGCCCCAGCAGGCAGCCAGTGGGCGGGGCCCCAGCAGGCAGCCAGTGGGCGGGGCCCCAGCAGGCAGCCAGTGGGCGGGGCCCCAGCAGGCAGCTAGTGGGCGGGGCCCAGCAGGCAGCCAGTGGGCGGGGCCCCAGCAGGCAGCTAGTGGGCGGGGCCCCAGCAAGCAGCTAGTGGGCGGGGCCCCAGCGGGCAGCCAGTGGGCGGGGCCCCAGCAGGCAGCTAGTGGGCGGGGCCCCAGCAGGCAGCCAGTGGGCGGGGCCCCAGCAGGCAGCTAGTGGGCGGGCCCCAGCAGGCAGCGGGGCCAGCAGGCAGCCAGTGGGCGGGGCCCCAGCAGGCAGCCAGTGGGCGGGGCCCCAGCAGGCAGCCAGTGGGCGGGGCCCCAGCAGGCAGCCAGTGGGCGGGGCCCCAGCAGGCAGCCAGTGGGCGGGGCCCCAGCAGGCAGCCAGTGGGCGGGGCCCCAGCAGGCAGCCAGTGGGCGGGGCCCCAGCAGGCAGCCAGTGGGCGGGGCCCCAGCAGGCAGCCAGTGGGCGGGGCCCCAGCAGGCAGCCAGTGGGGGGGGGCCCCAGCAGGCAGCCAGTGGGCGGGGCCCCAGCAGGCAGCCAGTGGGCGGGGCCCCAGCAGGCAGCTAGTGGGCGGGGCCCAGCAGGCAGCCAGTGGGCGGGCCCCAGCAGGCAGCCAGTGGGCGGGGCCCCAGCAGGCAGCCAGTGGGCGGGGCCCCAGCAGGCAGCTAGTGGGCGGGGCCCCAGCAGGCAGCCAGTGGGCGGGGCCCCAGCAGGCAGCCAGTGGGCGGGGCCCCAGCAGGCAGCCAGTGGGCGGGGCCCCAGCAGGCAGCCAGTGGGCGGGGCCCCAGCAGGCAGCCAGTGGGCGGGGCCCCAGCAGGCAGCTAGTGGGCGGGGGCCCCAGCAGGCAGCCAGTGGGCGGGGCCCCAGCAGGCAGCCAGTGGGCGGGGCCCAGCAGGCAGCCAGTGGGCGGGGCCCCAGCAGGCAGCCAGTGGGCGGGGCCCCAGCAGGCAGCTAGTGGGCGGGGCCCCAGCAAACAGCTAGTGGGCGGGGCCCCAGCAGGCAGCCAGGGCGGGGCCCCAGCAGGCAGCTAGTGGGCGGGGCCCCAGCAGGCAGCAGTGGGCGGGGCCCCAGCAGGCAGCTAGTGGGCGGGGCCCAGCAAGCAGCTAGTGGGGGGGCCCCAGCGGGCAGCCAGTGGGCGGGGCCCAGCAGGCAGCTAGTGGGCGGGGCCCCAGCAGGCAGCCAGTGGGCGGGGCCCCAGCAGGCAGCTAGTGGGCGGGGCCCAGCAGGCAGCCAGTGGGCGGGGCCCCAGCAGGCAGCCAGTGGGCGGGCCCCAGCAGGCAGCCAGTGGGCGGGGCCCCAGCAGGCAGCCAGTGGGCGGGGCCCCAGCAGGCAGCCAGTGGGCGGGGCCCCAGCAGGCAGCCAGTGGGCGGGGCCCCAGCAGGCAGCCAGTGGGCGGGGCCCCAGCAGGCAGCCAGTGGGCGGGGCCCCAGCAGGCAGCTAGTGGCCGGGGCCCCAGCAAACAGCTAGTGGGCGGGGCCCCAGCAGGCAGCCAGTGGGCGGGGCCCCAGCAAGCAGCTAGTGGGCGGGGCCCCAGCAGCTAGTGGGCGGGGCCCAGCAGCAGCAGTGGGCGGGGCCCCAGCAGGCAGCCAGTGGGGGGGGCCCCATCAGGCAGCCAGTGGGCGGGGCCCCCAGCAGGCAGCCAGTGGGCGGGGCCCCATCAGGCAGCTAGTGGGCGGGCCCCAGCAGGCAGCCAGTGGGCGGGGCCCCATCAGGCAGCCAGTGGGCGGGGCCCCATCAGGCAGCTAGTGGGCGGGGCCCCAGCAGGCAGCCATGGGCGGGGCCCCAGCAGGCAGCCAGTGGGCGGGGCCCCAGCAGGCAGCTAGTGGGCGGGGCCCCAGCAGGCAGCTAGTGGGCGGGGCCCCAGCAGGCAGCTAGTGGGCGGGGCCCCAGCAGGCAGCTAGTGGGCGGGGCCCCAGCAGGCAGCTAGTGGGCGGGGCCCCAGCAGGCAGCCAGTGGGCGGGGCCCCATCAGGCAGCCAGTGGGCGGGGCCCCATCAGGCAGCTAGTGGGCGGGGCCCCATCAGGCAGCCAGTGGGCGGGGCCCCAGCAGGCAGCTAGTGGGCGGGGCCCCAGCAGGCAGCCAGTGGGCGGGGCCCCATCAGGCAGCCAGTGGGCGGGGCCCCATCAGGCAGCCAGTGGGCGGGGCCCCATCAGGCAGCTAGTGGGCGGGGCCTTACGGGATGTTGGACAGGTGCAGCGTTGCTGAAGGAGGAAAGATGTTGTTGAAGTTCTTGGAGCCGGGCTTCTTGAAGCGGTGGAGGGCGGAGCCTGAGAAGTCCTGCGTCAGCGTCTGCTCCTCTGGCCCGCCCCCCGCGCGGCAGCTGCACCATGGGGTGCCTGGACAGGGTCACCCGGATCACGTTTCCATGGAGACGCTGGCCGTTCAGGTGGCTCATCGCTGCAGAGAGAAAAACCTGAATATCATTCAGAAATATTTTATTTCATTTTATTTTTTCAAAATTAATATAATAAACTTTACAAAATACATTTAGGACACATAGAGAGGAAAATTATTCCCCAAATTTTAATATTTCTGTTCTCGTCGGAATAAATCCAGAAATCGTCCATCCAGAGACAAACTCAATGAAACCGGCACAACCAGGACGCGCTTATTAAAACACGACTGAATTTTAGGGACAATAAATAAATTTGATCAGAGCTGATTCTGACCGAGCTGCGCCTGCGTGGCGTCGCTCATCTGGACCAGCGCGTTCTCCTTCTTGTTGAACAGGATCTTGACTCGCTGGACGTCGCCATAAACTCCTGAAACACACAGATCGCAGGTCAGGCTCCCCCTGCTGGGCGAAGCCGGGATGACGGCAGCCAGTCTCACCAAACAGGATGAAGAGGCAGTGGGGGGAAACTCTGTGGACACAAAAACATGTAGGTCAGAGCGCTGCGCTCTCATTGGTCACCTACTGCATCCCCGTGTGACCTCTCACCTCTGGGTCCAGGTTAGACACTAGCAGCACTGAGTGGCCCGCAGGGGGCGCCACCTGCATCGCCATGCGAGGAGGGGACATCAGCGAGCCGGGGACCGCCGTCATTGGG